ATATTTTCTTTCAACTTTTAAAAATAGTGCAATTTGATTGTTGCAACTAATAAAAGTTAATTTTGATTATTAATTGATTGAAAAATGACATCTAAAAGTACAAAAAATTTTAAAATTACAAAAAATGTTCCAAAAGTATAGATAATAACTCAAAAAATATACAGAAAAAGACAAATAAAATTTTGTATCATTTTTATCATTTTCTGATCAATTAATTGTCAAAGTTATTTTTTATTAACAATAAGGGTTAGATTGTATTGTTTTCAAAAGTTGAAAGAAGATATTATACAAAAGATGAGTTTAAAATTTTAGACACATCTAGACATATACTTTAAGAGTCAATTTGTTCACTTACCCTTTAATTTTTAAACTTCACTAACATACAATTTATGAATTTTTTGTTTAGATCTTAAACATTGAAGAATTAATACGACTAAAATAAAATTTACTTTAATATTAAGGGATTAAAGTGCACTTTTATTTTCAAATTAATAAACCAATTGTCATTCATTCATAAACACTTGTTCATCACAATTTTAAAAAGAAGGGTTAAATGTCAAGTTTGTCCCGGAACTTTTTTTTCAAGGGCGTCTGACACTCTAAACTTTTTTTTAGAGCATTTTTGTTCCAAACTTTTCAAAAAGATAGCATTTTTGCTCCACTGTTAGATATAAAAAATGTTAACTGTTAAATTAAAATTTCATTAAGAGTTAAATAGCATGTTTGCCTTGAAACTTTTTTTTAAGAATGCTAGGTATCCTAAACTTTTGTTTGGAACTTATTTTCCTTGAAAATTTTAAAAGAAGAGTAATTTTGCCTTGCCATCAATATTAACCATTACTTTGATTTTAATTGCCACTTGTAGCCACGCAAAATTTTAAAAAAAAAATTCACCTAGATAGCAAGAACACCTCATTTAGCATCAATAACAATAGCAAAAACAACTCCATGAAAAGCAAGTAAGAACAATAACAAGCAATTCCAAATCATCCAAACCCATACTTATACCTGAAAAGGATCAACTATCCATTGAGTTAATCCAAATGAACTTGCCACGTGAAAATTCTCTTCTTCCATATTTGACAATTTCACTAGCTCACTCAACTATGATGACTCTGCAGACTTTAACCTTGACTTAGATGCTTTTGAGGGCTTCACAGCATCAAACTTGACCATGGTGTCAGTGGCAATAGTAGCAACTTAGATGTTACTGAGGAGCACATGGCAAATCAGGGGAGGATGACAGCAATTTAGGAGAAGTTAAGAATGATGAATTTGCCTTTGATGGATATAATAGCGACGTTGTCGGCTTTAATAGTCATTTATCAAAGGGTGAAAGTATCGATCCAAATGTGAGACTTCTTGCAAGACTCGCAAATCTCGGACACTCATTTTTTCCAACTTCACAATCTATGGTAATGCGGGAGCTTGCTGGTCGAAGAGGAGGAAGAAAAAGAAGAAGAAAAGGATGATGAAGGAGAAGGGAAGGCAAAATTGTTCCTTAAAAGTTTCAGGAAAAATGAACTCCGAACAAAAATTTAGGATACCCAGCGTCCCTGAAGAAAAAATTTTAGGATAAATATGCCCTTTAACTATTGGTCAAATTTCAGTTTAACAGTTAACATTTTTTGTATTTAACGGTGGAACAAAAATGCTCTTTTTTTTGAAAAGTTTAGGGCAAAAATATTCTAAAAAAAATTTAGGGTGCTAGGCATCCCTAAAGAAAAAGTTTGAGGACAAATTTATCATTTAATCTTAAAAAAAAAACCTTAATAAACTTTAAATTTTAAAAAGTGGCATTCCTAACGAAGTGAAGAAGTTAAATCTTGCTTAACTAACTATACATTGTTTAAGTTAATCTTGCTTGGCGGCAAAGAGATGCCTTATTTCCATCACGGGGTCAAAGAAAGCGAGAGACAAAAATGATAAGTTGCTGGCAAGTGGAGATAAGAACCAACGAACACTATATAACGGAAGAATAGTAAATAAAAATTCTTAAAAATTCAATAGTACAAAAATTTAAAAATCAACTGTGTTTGGAAAAATAAAATTGTTTTATACTTGTTGAAATAATTACTTATATTTTTCGAAGTTACTATTTATTCTTGATAAAATTTTAAACTTATATTATTTTTGTAGTATTATCATCTCATAATCAATATTAATAATATCAAATATCAAATTTATAACAAGTTATAGGATTCATAATAAATCATAAACCATATGAATTAATTTTGTTAGCTCCATGAATTATGATAATACAAAGGGAAAATATAATCAATGATCTTATAGTTTTATTGAGTTTTACTTTTAATTTATGTAATTTGTTTTCAATCTTTATAATTTTTATAATTTAAAATTTTTGGGGACTTCAAAAAAATTATATAATATTATTAAAATTATAAGGATTGAGAACTAAAAAACTATATAATTTAAAAGTAAAATTTAATAAAATTATAGAGAATAATGATTGCATTTTTCATGATATAAATTATAAAGTGTAATGTTGATCACTAATACCTTTACTTTCCTAGGGAAAAATTTAAACATTAGTAAATTAGTAAATCTAATAAGTTGTTTTTTATCTTATACCAGAACCCCTTAAGTGGTAGTTACGAATTGTCATTTTCAGGTAAGACACTAAATCAAAAAATAATTTTAAAAATGGCATTTTAGGAAGGGCATGCCCGTAAATGCAGGGGACAAAGGCCGCGCCGGGGCTTGGCCGTTTTCATCTAATGCTGCGAGTTGCACGACCGAACGCAAGGAACACGTGTTGGAATTAGTCACCCACCGCCACACGAATTAAATTATTGATGCTGTTAAATTAAATTAATAGACAAATAATAAAGTCTTTTATGAGAGAGTCCACTGGACGACTTGTATTGTATTTGTGGTACAGCTTCCACGAAATAAGACTTTTCAGTGTTTTATTTAGTACCACCATGTATTCCTCGTGCTTTAATTCTTCCTCCTTTTATTTTCTCCTCCAGAAATTATATAATCTTACCCTTTTCTGTATTCTCTCCAATTTCAAGTTTGAAAGAGAAAGAGAAAGAGAGCCTTGTGGTTGTGTTCGCCGGCAAATATGTCCTGCTCGTCGGAGAACTCGGAGGTTTCTGACCTGAAGCTGGCCAAGTCGTCGGAGCAGTCAGCCTTCTCTCAGACTTGTAGCCTGTTGAGTCAGTACCTCAAGGAGAAAGGCAGCTTCGGAGATCTTACTCTCGGAATGACATGCAACATCGAAGGCACCGGTATTGTTTGATTTTCCAGACATTTCAAGTTTTTTCTCTTTTTCGTCTCTCTCTCTTTTTTTTCTTGCTGTTTTCTTCCTTCTCGCAAATATCGGATGTTGCTTGTTCTCTGTTTGGATTGCCGGAAAATAGACATATAATTCCTTTCATCTTACTTCGTTCTCCATTAAATTTAGTCGACGTAAAGTAAATCTTAGAATAGGATAATAGGAGACAAGTTTCCTGCCATTCCTAATTTTGCTTTCCCTCTCGGTTGTTATAAACTTTTTTTTTTTTTTGGACCAACCTCGGTTGCTATTAACTTGAAACTATGGATCTAACGAATGCATCAGGCGTCCTTGTAATTTTCTCTAATTTGACAAAGATTACTGTTCAAATTACTCCTACTATAAGATTTGGAGTTTAGAATTTAGAGATACTTTCCAACAATTATATGTACTTTCCAAAATCTTCTCCTATAAAAAACTCTGTTTACGTTTTCGGAAACGCTCGACTGTTTCTTTTTTCCTGGCCTTAGTTTCCTTATGGGAACAATATAAGGTTTGAGATATTGTGAGTAGACTGGAGAATATTTGGGGACATGGATTATATTCCTACTTGCATGCTTTTGAAGATCTCTCTGAATTTGAAGTAATTTTTACAGGGTCTCCTGAGACATCTTGTCACTCTGCAACCATTAAGAACCTTCTTCCGACCAAGACTTCTGTGAATCCCTGGTCCGTTCGCTTGTTTCCTCAATTTTTGATTAGGGTTTCAAAGATTATAGTTACCAAATAATCTTAAATATTGATGTATGAGCTCTTTTCCTGATGTACAGTGTGATGAATCCTGTGAGTATGGAGCCTAAATCTGCACAGTTGACAATCTTCTATGGTGGACAAGTTCTTGTGTTTGATGATTTTCCAGCTGAAAAGGCCAAGGAGATCATGGCCCTGGCAGGCAAAGGAAACTCCCAAACTCTCAACAGATCTGCTTATGCTTATCCTTCATTTCCTCCTAATTTGGTCACAATTTCTGCTGATCCTAATGCTGCCGGCAATTTGGGTCAAGAGCACTCTCAAGCACAACCCAGACCTGTTATTGCTGGTAATTCCCTTTTGTTTGACTTCTATGCTTTTGAGACAATGGGACAATATTGTGTTTCTGATCATCGATTTCCTTTTCATACAGATCTACCAATTGCTAGGAAAGCTTCACTTCATCGGTTCTTGGAGAAGAGAAAGGATAGGTAGGCTCTCTCAAACAAATAAAGAACTTTGATCAAGAAATGTTGCTTGTTGCATTTCTGTGCATATTGTATTATTGTTCATTAAATGACAAGTATTTTTCTTTTGCATTTCCAGAATCGCTGCCAGAGCTCCATATCAAACAAACAATGCCAAGAAGCCAGCTGGAGCCATGCCATGGATTGGCATGTCTCCTAATTCACCACTAGTCTGAAGCTATAACTAGCACATCCATGTATTCAGGATTAGAGACAATATTTTTAGTTTTTGGGATGTTAGTGGCAATATTCTTATGCATGGTTCTTTAGGACCAAGAATGAGAGACAATGTCTTAGGTTCCATGTTTGGTCTTCTAATTCCTTGCATCTATAGAGAAGTTACAATTAAGAACATTCATGTATTCAAGACTTACAACCCCTAGGGGTTTGGCACTAGCCAGTTAAATTTAGTTAAGTTGCTTCTATGTTGGTATATGAATTCAATCTCTACCAATGAATATCTGAATCTCTTCACTTCAACGTGTCAAAACAAGTCAAGAATTTTTATTCCACTATAGCAACATGAACTAGAAAAAATTCTTGCCCACAGTTAAATTGAGCTAGACAATATGAACAAGAGAATCAAATGTCAGCATAAATACATGGCAGAAGTGTCTGCTTCAAACAAAATCGCAGGATCGTAGACGTATGCTTTTAGAAACATAAAAGTTATCATCATTTGCATCAACAGAAATCTGCATGAGTGTTAAAACTCTCCGTGGCTTTTCTCGATTCTTCGTAAGAACAAAGGGACAGGTTTTTCCAAGACAGTAACATTAACATTGTTCCAAACATCAGATGTGGCAGGAAGTGTGGCAATTCTCTCGGCAATATGCATGTCTTCGGGAAAAACAGATCCAAACACCGTGTGTGCATGTCCCCATTCCACATGATTAGCCAGGCTAATAAAGAATGCGGGGCCAGAACCAACCCAAGCAACTGAACCTCTCTTAAGAATAGGACAATCTTCTATAGGGATTTCCTTGAATGTGGTCCCTTGTGCTTCTAGTATCCCTTGAACCAATCCATAAGGTGGTCCAAAAGCAGCCTGGAATAAAGAGAATTATTCCATTACAGAATTTGGATGGATAATCTGATAAAGAAAATGCGTGTGCCTTTATGTGCCATGAAAGCATCAGACCAGGAAATTTCAGAGTCTTACGTTTTCTACATGGTTTCCTGCCAAATCCCATGAATCACCTCGGCTCTCTGCACGGTAAAAGTGGCAGCCGGCACAATGGCGCAAAGCCAACAGCTCTAGAATGTAAGCAACAGAATGAGGGGCACAGTCGGGGAAAAGCTGCACCATATAGTATTTAAAGTTGGTGTAAATGTGCACCAAAACGAATCATTAAAAAGCTAATCTACAGATAATAACACGTCGGGAGATGGGTTTTCTGCAAGCAAGAGGCTTTTGGCTTTTGGCTACAATCACAACACATCATAATGATAAATAATAATCTATTGGGTTAATAACTGCATCAGCTTCTAACACACACACACAGCAAAAACCCACTGTCTTAGGTATTATATTCAGAGAAATGTTTCATCCAAGGGTGTTTTGTGCATTGTGCTATCAATTTTACACTGGAGAAGAGAGAAATGCTTTCAAAGTTTACAAGAAGATCACACCCACATGGGTGTTTTTGGTATTTTGACTCCTGAACTTACTGTACTGGGAAAAGGGTTCCAATCGCACTTTCAAATAGACCAGCTTGATTTCATACACACACACACACACACACACACGCACACATAAGCATGATTACTTACCTTTATATGAAGAGTTCCATACTCAGTTTCCAGCCCAATAATACCCTGCAAATAAATAATTGGAAAAAGTATATTAATGAACAATTTAAACATTCATAACATTATAAAGTTCAAACTTTGCATTACATCACACAGGGACTTGTAAGCTATAACTGAGGATTGAAAGAGAGAACACAATTTTACATGTGTAATCTGCCCAAGATTACTCAATAATCACAAGACATCAAATACAAAAGTTGGTGTTCTGCTTGGATATATCATATTCATCCCATCCCATACCATCAAGCAAACCACACCTTGGTACATAATATAAAATAGGTCGCTTAGATAATCACATATTGTCATGCATCCCATGACTTGCCCCTCCGAAGATTATGCTGAACAAAGAACCTTCTAATTGCCATAAAGCACTAAAGTATCTTATGCTCTTACCGCAGGTCTTTGGCTGCATTGCTAAAGTCCAATTTCAAGTTTCTCCCTTATAGATGAGCCCGTTACACTTCCACAATCAGATTTTTTTTTTTTTTTTTTTTTTACAAAGAGACAATATTACCCAATGACATCAAATGAATGCAATGCCATCTCAGCTCAATAGCATTACCAGCAGGTGGTTAGGGGCACCAGATATAGTGAACAACTGTTCGTCTCTCTTCAAGAAACCCCATCTCAATACTTAGTTTTGAATAACCAAAAGAAAAATCCATTTTGAAGATAATTAGCATATCACTGACATACTAATAGGGCTTATGGAAGAGAGAATGTTAAAGCATGCCTTGGTTTCATTTGTTGATGACAGCTCTTTCCAACACATTCATTCTAAAATATCAAACTTTCAGTACCTCTCCCATCCCATAGATGACACCAGAAGTCCAGCCAACTGTTTCCTTAGCTCCTTGCCGTTCAGGGGCTAAGCCGTCCATTTGTTTCTTCAACCAACACTGAAATAATGAATATACATGCAGTGACTTCTATGCTCATGATCATACTGAGGATCCAAAAGAAACTCAATATCTAAAATCTGAAATTAAATGAAATTCTTTCCTACCATATTGTAACTACCAACAATGCTCTATTTTACATTGGTTGTTTGAATCAATATTCATACTTAGAAACCATATAAAGAGATAGCATCTAGAGATAAAGGAGTAATATGTCAATGAATACACACACACACACACGTAGATCTTCAAGCAAGAATTAGAAAGTAACTTACCTCACCAAATTTGGATCCACAAGTCTCACGTTTCCCACAAAACACCCAGGTATCGCACAAACATGGTCCATCTTTGCCAGTACACATGGATTTACAAGCGTTGCAGCAACCTTCGGAACTGTTGAATTTAAACTCAGAACCCCACTTCACAGTCGCGCCCCAGAGCTCCAAATTATCAATTCCTCTACAGCATCCTCCATTATCTCCTCCATAACCCTGATCCGCCCTAGCAGTAGCACCGTCCTGGTCCAACAATGCCATGGAGGCAGAACGTGAACCTGAAGAAGAGGCGCCGCTGGAGATTGCAAACACAGAAGAGACGAAAGCATAAACCATGCCGCATGAGACCAAGCACACCATCAGGAGAATCAAACCAGTTGATAGAGTGAGCTCCGGTTCATTTCGCCTCCGAGCCATTGGAGAAACAGGGCAGCAGATGAAAATGAAGACCCAAAAAAACGATCAAGCCAGAGGATCGAGCAATAGAGCGGGGACATAGAGTAACGTTGACCGGAAAAAGAGGTTTAGTAAAGCGAGTGATGGAACGAATGCGACATAGAGTGGGTATACTAATCACTGATTCATAGTGTTCATATTATAGAGAGTAGAAAGCAGCGTGGTTGTTGAGAAGTTGAGAATTCGGTCCGAATCCGAGGGTGCGGTTGAATGAAAATGAATGATTGTTCAGATGATCTGAAAAAGTTTGTCTTTTTCCTCTTCCAAAGTTTATCTACTCGTTTCTTAAATCGATGTAGCCTTCATTATTCACTTAAAGTGGAAAAATTATAAATCACTAGGCTTCTTCAAAGGCCTAATGAAGCCCGAGGATGGGCTGGATGCTTAAGTGCAGGTTTGAATTAACATTCAATTTTAGTTAGAATCAACCAAATTAAAATTAAAACATAAAATGTTTATTTTGTGTTGTTTGGATTAGGAAAAAATCTCAACTTTAATGTGCCTTAAATGAGCGTTTTTTTAAAAGCTCACAAACCAACTTTTATATTAGCGTTAGCATTAGAAGCTGTTGCAAGCATTTAATGAAGTTTAAATATTTATGCTTTCTCTCTCCACAAGCTGTGTATCTACCCTTATGAGCTATTCGCAAGCATTTAATGAAGTTTAAATATTTATGCTTTCTCTCTCCACAAGCTGTGTATCTACCCTTATGAGCTGTTCGGTTTTTTTTATGTTGCTATGCGTGCTATCTTCCTCTCGTGACCTCCGAACTTGCATCTCCAGATCTGCTTCACCCTCCTCTGCTTCACCTCCCGAGCTATACACACCTAGCACTGATCAGTTGATCTCTACCTCAATTGAAGCACGAAGATCTCCACGTTCAAGCACCAAGATCTTCACCTTTCAATCTTGCATCCAGCATTCCCTGCTCAGAAGCGGTTTCTCCTTGTCACTTCTCGATCTCCACCATGTCTACCAGATTTGAGGTTGCCGTCATTGGATCTACTCCCATCGACTGTCCTTGGCAAATGAGGTTCTTCCTTTCGTCTCATTCCTTACCTTCCTTGCTATCAGCCTTTTGTTCCTCTGTGTTTTGAGTTTTTTTCTTCTTCTTCATCATCTAATGCTTTTCTTTGCGTTCTTGGTGGATGATTTTTTTTCTACTTTTCATTCATTTAGCCTGCGTTGCTTCTCTTTTCATTTAGTCTAGGATACATCCTTCTTCTTCAATGGTGAAATATGAAAAAGCCACCACTGAAGGTGTTGGTCGAAGGAAGCCCAACAGGGGATAACTACTTGACGAAGAAGAGGATGAGCAGAGAAAAGAGATCTAAGTTACCTATTAGCCATTCTTCCTAGTTTAGTCTTTTTCATTCCTTTAGCCTGTGCTGCTCCTCTGTTTATTTAGTTTAATCTTTTTTATGGTTGTATGTCTGCTTTGCTCCTCTGTTTTTTCAAATTAGTGTCCTTTCTTTGTGGTCTTTTTTAGTTCAGTTTTTGATCTGAACTTCATCCTTAGCCATAGAGTTTGGATCTTTCAAGGTTTCTCATAAGCTATTTTTGCTTGGAATGCTTCCTTTCTCATTTTCTTTTTCTTTGAGAATCTCGATCGAATGCGTTGTTCAAATGTTGTGAAGGTCATATTCATTGCATGAAGTTGATTTTCACGTGCATTTGTTGTTCGGGTTTAGTATTGGGGTGCTTCTAATTGGCTATGGTTTTTTTCCCTTCTTTGTTGGCTGCTCATGGCTATGGGAAATCAGCTGCCCTTGTTTTATCAATTGCTGTTGCTATTACCATGGGGTAATGTGCTTTATATACATTTAGATATGAATTTATATATATATATATATATATATATATATCCATTTAAGATATAATGAATATCTTGGGCTATTTATAATGTGTTTCCTTCCTTGTTTTAAAAATGAACAGAAGCAAATATTATGCATTTCTGGAATTGAAAATGCCAAACTGAAAATCTAGGCATATAGCAATTCCTTCCTTATTTTAGGATTATTATTTTAATTTAGTTTCGATATGACTTTAGGATACGGTGGTAAATTGATACATATATGCAAAGATATTTATTAATTTTGCATGTTTGTGATGGCTAGCTAGTCTATAGAACAATGAACACTGATAAAGGAAAAGCTGTGTGGAATTCAACCTTGATAGAAATTTTCATTAAGGAATGTTTAGAGCAAGTGTACAAGAAACAAAGGAAAAAAACTGCTTTCAACAAAAATAGGTGGTAAGCAATAATTGAGGGGTTTGAGAAAAAAATAGGAAAAAGGTATGACTGAAAGCAACTGAAAAATAAATTGGACAATATGAAGAAAAAATGGAATATATGGTACAAATTATTTTCTAGTGAAACCGACTTATGATGGAACAGTGTCAAGAATATTGTTGATGCTCTAAATGAGTGGTGGGAGCGAAAAATCTTAGTATGGATTAGTTATTAAGTGTTTTTTAGATTAGAATTTAATTTGAGAATTTTAATTGTTGATTACTTAAATGTTTGCAGGAGAATCCCCTTTATGAAAAATTTAGACAAAAAGGGTTGAGGTTTGCAAGGGAATTAACCTTCATATTTAGGGATGTCCTTGCAATTGGGGAGACACTATCTGTGCCATCTGCTACCCAAACCCAAATAGAGGATGATGATGAAGATGTGTACCACCCCACCATTGACCTTTAAGAAGGATTCAATGATAGTAAAGAGGAGTTAAATTTATATGACACTGCAACACCTATAGGGGCACTGATGAGTTGTAAGGCTTAAATGTCACCACAAATACCGGTGGAACCAATGTTAATAGAAGTCAAGGCAAGAGAAAGAGGGTTGTAGGAGATGGTGGGAGGAAAAAGCAAAAAGTCTTTGCCTTAATGAAAATAGCAGATGCAATGAGTGAAATAGCTAAGGATAATAGAGTTAGAATAGAGACAGTAAACAAGATTTTGGCAAATGATATAGGAGTTTTTGAGGTTGTAGCTCACCTAAATGAACTTTCAGAAGTTTTTGGTAATAAAGATTTGCATTGGAGATGTGTCAATCTTATTCTATAGAAGCCTATGCGAGATGCTTATTGGCAACTTAAAGACCATTTTGATCACTTGGTCAATTGGTTGAAGCACCAAGTCTACCATCTACCAGATTTTATTTCAAAGAATACATCAAGATGAATTTTTATCTAGGCTTATGATGACTTGACTGGTGTTTTTTTTTTTTTTACTTAAAGACTACTTGTAGTTGCTTTTGGTTGACTTGTACTTCGCTATGCTTATGATGACTTGGTTTGTAGTAAATATTTAACTCTTATCTAATGCTTATCTTATGCTTTATTTTTTATGTTGTTGAATGATATTTATATATTATGTATTTTATATTATATACAAATGATGTTTACATACTATTTTACCTCAGGTTGAAAATCATGAAAGATTCAATGAATATATGTTAGGTTGGAATGAAGGCTAGGATGTAGATGTGACTCATCAATTACTTCCCTTGTTTCAACAAGATATATTTGAGCAAGAAGAAATATGTTAATTAGGTAGTGAATATGTGATGCCATATGTGTGTAAAGAGCCATAGAGAACTAGCAAGCAAACAAGGCAAATGTAAGTCAATGAGATTTTGCAAGGTAATTGTGTGCGATACTAGTTGAGCTTGTTTTAAAGAAATCTAAAAAAATGGGAGTTGAAGAAATGGTTGGAATGTTTTTGAATACAATTGGACATAGAGTTTGTAATAGGATGATATAGGAACAATTTCAGCATTCAAGGAAAATTGTCCATAGAAATTTTCATAAAGTATTAGCTGTCTGCCTAAACTTTTTTAAGGCAAACATAAAGCTATTTGATCATTCGTTTCAACGATGTCATTCCAAAATTCAAAATGATCCATGGTATTGGCCATTCTTTAAGGATGCTATAGGAGCAATTGATGGCACTCATGTGCCATGTGTGGTTAGTGTTGCTGATCAAATTAAATTTATTAGAAGAAAGGGATATGCAACACAGAATGTCATGACTGTATGTAATTGGGACATATGTTTTACTTTTGTCATTACAGGATGGGAAGGTACGGCTCATGATGCCCAAGTATTTGATAATGCCATATCAACTTCTTCAATGCATTTTCCGCATCCACCTTCACGTATATTTTATTAAAGTCACTATAATTATTATTGCATTGATTTAATGTTGGTCAAATTTACAACACTTCCTTTTATTTAATAGGTAAATATTATTTAGTTAATTCTGATTATCCAACACTAAATGGGTATCTTGGTTCATATCGTTGCGAACGTTATCACCTTCCAGACTTCAGGTGAGTTGTAGGATTTACAAACAATAATGAGGTCTTCAATTATTATTATTCAAGTTTGAGATGCACTATAGAAAGAACTTTTAGAGTATGGAAGAATAGGTTTGTAATTATATGAAAAATGTCCAAATTTAAACATAAAACACAAGTTCAAATTATTTGTGCAACAATGGCAATACATGACTTTATTAGAAGAAATTCAATTACTGATGAACAATTCATACAAGTTGAAAATGAAAGTGTAGATGTCTTTGAGGAAGATATCGATATTGGTGAGGCATCCTCGTCAAATATACCTGGATCGTCAAGATAGATGTAGCATGTTCGTGATATAATTAGAGATCAGCTTGTAAATCATATCAATTGAATATTAATTTATTTTAGGTTTTTATGATAGAATATTTAAGATATTTTACTTATTAATTATGATTTTAAATTTAATATTTTTTACTTATTAATTAGTCAAAAAATATAATCATGCTTATTTAAGATTTAATATTTAAGACAAAAAAATTTATGCTTATTTTTGTCATTAAACATCTCAACTAGCTTTTGAATCATATTATCCAAATGAATTTCAATTTATCTAATTGACTTTAAAAAAAAAGTATCCAAACATAAATTACGTTACATTAACTGATTTTTCTTTTAACCTTACTTTGCTAACCTCAGTTGAATTCTAATCTCAGTTGTAAATTTTTTAATTCAAACACACTCTAAATGTGCTATTATCCTACTTGGTCAGTTGGTCCCAAGTCTTGGAGTCTGTTATGTGAAAAATGAAAATTGTAGGTTGATGATTGTTTGGTCTTATTTTTTTGGCAAGGAAGATTGATACTAAAATTCAAAAATAATAAATTTATGATAGTTAGGTTTCTAATAATTTTTTTATAAAATTAGTTATAAATATCTTTTTAAACAATAGTAAATTCAAAAGTTTTAATTAAAAATAAGGCATTTAAATTTTAACTATAATTATCAATTTACAATTGAAATTTTTATTTGCAACTGTTTAAATTGATATTTGTAACTTTTTTTTTATTTAGAAAAACCTATCATGGATATAACCAGCATAAATTTTTTATTGGAAAAACATAATTATTGGTTTCTACAATTACATTGGGTTTTGTTTCTAATCCATATGTCCTTTTAGTCATTGTAATTTAATATCATTAAGAACGTAAGGAACAAATATCACTTAATCTTGCTGAAAGTATACAAATTTAAAACACTAAAAAAAATTACAAAAATTACAAGCAAAACTTGATAAAATTATAGGAACTAACAATTGTGTTTTCTATTTTCTATTTTAAACCTTCATTGTTATTCTATCTTTTTTAATGCATAGGAAGGCAAAACCTTTGAGTAGAAAATAACAAAGCTAAGCAACTAGACATTGAATTGAAGAGTATTATTAAAATCAAGTCACATTAAATATATGCATTCTCGTGATGGCTCGGGCAAGATGCAAGCCTCCAAATTCATATTATAAGTACAAGTATTAGCTTCTATAAAAATATATTTATTTTTCAATCTCTAATAAGTAAACTTTATTTTATCTAATTAAGTTGATTCAACTTCTTTCTAATTGAACCAAGTATCAATATATCGTAATAAAATTCGTAGAATGCATCTTATTGGTTAGAAGCTATGCTCTCTCATTGGTAAAAAATACTTGGGTCCAATTTTAATTCCCTTCTTCCATTGGCTCACTCTATTTGTTCTTTGCATCTTCGTTTAAAATATTCACTTTAGTATCTCAACTGCCTGGCTTGAATCAATTTTAAATGGGAGCATTAAGTTCAACCATTTCTTCATATTCATTTACACCCCTTGGTATTCCCAATGTTTATTCCATTCCTCCCAGTCCGCTGTTAATTCCAGGCACTCTTAATTATAAGCATCTTTGTTCGTGTTCTTATCAACTCATTTGAGGATCTTAGCCTATAGGTTTGTTTTTATCATTTCATTGCTTGTTCTTTTATTAATTTTTTCCTTCCGCCCTATTTTCTTTTTCTTTGTTTGGTCCCTCTTGTGTTTTGAGTTGAAGGTTTTTGTTTCCTCGATGACTATCAATCGTTTCACTCCCTTAAAAGACATTCGAGAGGGTGTTATTGATGATGAGGTTTATGTTCAAATTGTATACAAGTTTTGGGTTGACGATGTTGGCTTCTCCAGATAGCAAAGTCTCTCATTTATTGTTTTTTGATGTGGAGGTCAGTCTTTCAAAATATTATATTTATATCTCATTCCCATCATCCGATTATTTTTCGCATGTCTTCTTTGTATCTCTTATAATTTCATTGTTTTTATTGTTTTTAGGGAACTTTTCTAATTGTTGTAGTTGATATTCTTCACCTTATCCATTGCCTATGGCCCATTCTTCATGAAGGTTCTACATATCACATCCAACACTTTGAAATCAAATCGGGTAGAAATCCTATTTCCACCAAGTACTTCATTATTATAGAACTTGATACATATTTCAATAAGTCACCAATCATGGTCCCCTTATTGACTATGAAGTTGATCCCCCCCCTTTTTAATAGATCCTTATAGGTCTAAGAAACAACTTTTTAGTAAGTAAAACTTATCTCATTGTTCTTATAAACATCATTATTCATTCTAAAGTTATGTCTTTCAAATGTTATCTATTTAATCATATGCTCATTAGTTTTTCTTATTATTTTCAGATGTTGCTGGGCTAATTACTTGTGTTGGCCCCCTCAACAAGGAAGAAGATAATGGCTTCGTGCATTGAAAATTCTCCTTCATATGTTAAAGGACACATGGTTTGCTTTGTTCAACTTCATCTTCCTATAACTAAATAACTTTACTTTGTCACCATTTCATTATTCTTTTATTCTTATAGGCAAATAATTTCCTATTTCATTGTTATTTTCACAAATAGAGCAATATTGGCTCCAACTTTAGAAGTTGTTGATCAATTGAATAATTACATATGTTCAATCTTTCCAAAAGAGGTTGTTACATACTTTAGTTCAGACTCAATATGCAAAGCAACTGAAGATTCAGATTCTTTTAAAGATATCTACAATACTAAATTCTTGAACATAATTGAATGTCCTGGAATAGCTCCACACAAGTTGACCCTTAAGATTGGAGTCCCATTGATGCTTATGAGAAATATAGAACAAGCTAATGGACTTTGTAATGGAACAAGGTTGAGGATTACTTTGTTGGCAGACCACTTTATAAAGGGAATAATTCTTAATGGATCAAATCTAGGAGAAGTTTATATTCATCATATGTATCAAAATCCTTCTAAGAGTAATCTTTCTTTTGTCATGCAACGACGATAATTCCCTCTTGTCTTGTCATTTGCAATGACCATCAATAAAAGTCAAGGGCAAACGTTGTCAAGTGTAAAAGTTTATTTGCCAAATCTAATATTCACTCATAGACAATTATATGTTGCTTTCTCAAGGGTTAAATCACAAGATGGGCTTAAACTTCTTATTCATGATTTAGATTTTAGGCCTCTCAATTCTACAACAAATGTAGTTTACAATAAAATTTTTCAGACTATAGCTAAACAACAATAGTTGAACTTCTTTCTCAAAAGACATGAATGCATATTATTGTATTTTGGTTTAATGGTGAAGGAAATTCAAACAAATTTCAGTTTCTTGAATCTATCATTCATATTCATTATCTTGTCTTTTGTAAATGTTATTACAACAAAATCAAATTTCATATATCAATTAAAGGAAGTATGAGGAACACGTCTTCTATATAATAAATATAACAAAATAACCTTAAAAAATTATGCTGATCTCAAGCATAAATTAAGTAATGTTTCATTGATTGCTTTTTTGGGTGAGTAAATGAACCTTTTAAAATATAGCAACAAACAGTTTTGGAGTAGAAAATCATATTTTCTTCTAATAAGTCAACATTATCATTTAAAAATTTCATTCATTTTTTAAAAATTTGTTATTCAATTGTTATTGAAAATATATGTTAATAAATATTTGTTTAGTCTCATAAGATAATAATATTATTTAAATAATAATTCTGTAAATGTTTTGACTTAAAGTACTTCTTAACCCCCCCCCCCCCCAAAAAAAAAAAAGCAGACTTTTGATATCCTTTTAATGATGTCAACAGTAATGTGGCTTCCGTTACGTAAATGGGTGATATTGGATATGGGCACCGTTGGGTTCATAAAAAATCTTGATTTTCATTTTTCTTAAACTTCTGTGGGAATACGCATTTTCAAGTGTCATCATCATATGAAGAATACTTGAAAGCTTCACCAATGACATTGATGGATAGAAGCATCTACATTTAACCTAATCCACATCCTGAATCAGGTTTACTCCATGATAGTTAACTTAGCAATTGTCTGGATCATCTTTTAATCTCTTAATTCTGATATCTTGGATGAACACTTGTTTGGACTAATTTCAATTCATAATAATATTCAAGACATCCCAAGAGTATTTTAATTATAATTATAAATATTTTGATTCAGGCAGAGAATGGTTATGGCAAAGCTTAAACATTTAGTTTTATATACTTAATATATTTTTATCTGATTAAATTAAGACAAACAAAATTTAATGTATCAATAATATTAATAACAAGAGTTTGTTATGGAATAAATAATGAATAAAAGAGCTATATGTCTTGATTTAACTAAAAACAAACGTTTTTAAGTATATAAGATTAAATGTGTGTTTGATTTTCAATTTGCTAAAAGTCTATTTAATAAAAATTTATTTAATAAAAGTCAATTTAGTGAAAGTCATTTGTTATCATAAATTTGTGTTTTAATATATTTTTTTAAAAGTTAATTTGATACACTAAAAATTATTTAAATTATGATAGCTAAATGTGCTTTTAAATGTACAATTATAAAAAAAACACATTGATTTATGATAATTTATAATTTTTATTATACAAATATAATATATTAAAAATATTTATAAGATTGTGATGGAATAAAATGTATTTAACAAGTTTTTAACTTTATCCTTATTAAATATACATACTTAAAAAATATATTCTAACATTTAATAACTTTTATAACATTTAATAAGATAAAAGGGTAAAGATGAATGTGATAATTATTGAAATACCGTGAAAATAAAATTAAAATAAATACTCTTTATTTTATAAATAAAGTCAAAGCTCTATAAATAAGTTGAAAATGACTTTTGAAAAGTTTATAAATTGCACATTCCAAAATTCACTCCCAAGTTAGTTTACCAAAGTCATTTTATAATGTCAATTTACATCTATTATAATTTTTCAAATAATATTTGATATTTGAAAAATTAAAAAGAATATTTGAAAAGTGAAAAGTAATAAATCTAAACGCACCCTGAATATTAAGTTTTTCATACAAAATATAAAAGAAAGGGGATGAATCTTCATACAGATAAATCATGTATCAAGTAATTATTTACTAAATCAATGAAAAATTCGTCTTAACATTATAGTGTGCGAAAGAAAAGAATGTCATACAAAATGAACATACACATAAAGTTGGTTTTTTTTTTAAAAAAAAAACTTTTCAATCGAATGTACAAGATTTGAGATGAAAGAAAATGTTGGGGATTTATTAGTGACGGAATGTATATAGTTTGTATCTTGTAAAAATGGAATTAATGCCAGTAGTATTATGGAAATTGCCACTGCCCATTTTTTATCATCTAATAAATAAATCAAAATAAGCCCCATAGCAACAACGGATCCGTGGCGCAATGGTAGCGCGTCTGACTCCAGATCAGAAGGTTGCGTGTTCGATTCACGTCGGGTTCAAAGTCCCGAACCGTTAGCTACCCTAACGGATCATTTTTTCCCTAACGCCGTGAAAATGTTTGTTTGTTTGTTTTTTTTTTTTTTTGAGGTAAACAGCATCTTTGGTTTGGTTAGAAGTCCAAGGTCCACTGGCTTAATGAATATTCTTTGAAGAATGATAATAACGGTTCAATTTAATTAAATAGTGGTAAGATATTTTGTCATATGCCAAGTCTTAAATTTTTAGAGGAGATAATATACATGATGTAAGGATTGTTTTGAATTTTTTAAAAAAATGTATTTTGACAATTTTTAAGTACTAATAAAATTTAATAGCTATATTTGAAACATTCATTAAATTAGTGATTTTATGCTATTTATCAAATCCAAATTCTTCTATATTAATAAGTATATATTTGTGATAGGAAATAAAATTGTCCCACTCCATCAGAAATTAAAGGGAAAATTACAATTAAGGATCTTCAAAAATCAGTAATAATAATTCAGACTACAAAATGTTGAAATTAAACTTCAGGACTGTAGTTCTTTGTTGCAGTTTGCTTAAAAAATACTTCCTCTATTCTCAATTATAATAAAACTTTAAAAGTATTTTATGATCTCAAGATATAAGACAATATAAAAAAATAAAATTTCATTAATAATGTTTTTCTAATATTACCTTTTAGTAAAAAAAGAATTTAAATGATATTATACTATAACGATTAAGTGTGTAAATACATTTTTAAAAATTTATAATTTTATTTTAAAAAAATAAGTTTATAAAGTATCATTATGAAACTTTATTAATATACATAATTTTTTTTCAAATTGTTTTATAATTTAGGATAGAGTGAGTAATGTTTTGACTAAAACACTCATGTTTGAAATGCACATTTATTCACTAACTTTTCAGGATACTTTAGCCATAAAACTATAGGTATTATTGATTTTCGAGGTGCTCATTTGTGATTTTACCAAAGTTTTAAATCTTTTGTTTTTCTAAATATTTTGATAGGTTATTTTCTTTTTACCTGTTCACATAAAAACAAATTCAGCAATCCAGTAAAATAAGTTACAAAGCCATTCTACTACCCCTGTGCTTTTACTAAAAGTCCTTGCGCTTTACTAAAAATTACACAGCGATCAGGACTCCTATAAATACAACCTCCAATTCAAAAGCTAGGTACTTTTGTCTCTTCTTATTTTTATTTATTTATTTATTGCCTTTTTTGCAAAGAGAATGCAGAGCCTAGGATAGATGAGCAACGTAGTTGTTCTCAGCACAGTTACCACTAAGATCAACTTCAGATTCCTCCTCATCTGCCTCAACATCCCCACTGTCCAATGACCCTCCACCAACTTGATCTCCACCCTTGGAACCTTGCCCCACTGTTGTTCTTGCCTCTTGTACGATTCTCATTATCTCTTCCACACTCTGCCTTCCTTCTTCTTTCTCTGCTTCCTCCTTTGCTTTCGCCATCTCCTTTGGCAAGTTCTTCAGAAACCATGGGTGCTGTTTTATCTCTGGGATGCTGATCCTCTTTAACCACCACCACCAGAAATCAATCAGTTAAAGTCAGAGATACCCTTTTTTATAATAGCTAAAGTGTTAGATCTTTCTAATCTCTACAGTTGCATTTGCATATGTAAGGATTTGAATTTAAATTTGAATTTGAATCAAATCTCCTCTTTGAATATATAAAAGTTCATGAAAATCTTTTGGTCAAAAAAAAAAAAGTTCATGAAAATCTAAATCTAAATTTATGTTTTATTAAAATTTATTTATAATTTTAAATTCCTTTTAAACCCTAGCTATTTGAAATTTTAATATTCTAACTCTCTCATTTTTTTCATGTTTTTTCACTATCAATGCCTTTGTTACTCTCGTCTTTCCTCTCATCTCTCGTCATCATTTTTCATCGATTGAAAAATAAAGGTGAACCCATCACTATCAATCTTCTGGTTCTATTTCAAATTTCAATTTGTCTTTTTTCTACTCTTAAAATTTTTTGCACTATTCAAACAAATAATTTTAAATACATGAATTTTAAATATGAGATTTTAAATATAAAATTTAAATTTAAATTTATCGATCCAAATGTTACCTAGTCAGTGGCATGATCGTCAGGGCAGAGATGCTCGATAGAATGGTTCATAAGAAAGAGTGTGTGTGTGTGTGTGTGTGTGTGTGTGTGTTACCTTTGCAGGATTGGCAACAAAGATGCGAGAAAGAAGGTGTTTGCAGTCTGCAGAGACACGTACATAGTCGGGTATGCTGTACTGAACATTCAATATTCTCTGGCAACACAAGTGAAGTGATCAGAGTTTGAAGTTTACCGATAAAAGATCAAAGATTTGAATCAAAAGAGAATTAAATTTGAAGTGGTATAAAAGCTTAGCTCACCCCAATCGTTTTTCGGAAATTCCTAGGATCTTCAGGTTCTTCAAACGGGTAAGCTCCAACTAACATGACATACAAAGTCACACCACAGGACCAAACGTCTGCAATCTAATGAAACAGCCAAATTGGAAAGAAAAGTGTACAGTGAAGACTATATGGCATCAAGTTCAGGGCACTGCAGAAAAGAAGAGGAAGAGAACTCCCTATACCTTTCCATCATACTCCTTTCGGGACAGAACCTCCGGAGCGATGTAAGCAGGAGTTCCAACGGTTGATTTCGGTTGAGAATGAAGCAAAGCAGACTGCAGATGAATATGAAATTGAAAAATGGTAAGAAATCAGCAGGCATATTATCATATCCGAGATGGATCATTTTAGTGAGAAGTTATCAATCAACCTTGGAGTAACCAAAGTCACATATTTTAACTCGAGGATTTGGACTTCCATCCAAGAGAGTGTTCTCCAGTTTCAGGTCTCTATGACAAATCTCCTGTAGTACGAAGCATAAGTTGATATATGACGTGAAAAATATTGAAACAAAAACACATAATGGATTGAGTGCGTACCATTGAATGACAGTAACTAACTCCAGAAATTAGCTGCTGGAAGAAAAATCTTGCCTGTGTTTAGATGATTCACCATAAAAAGTCTGTAAATGTTTACATTGGTACCTTAATATATGTGTTTAAACAAGTATTCAAAAGATTATACAACCTCATCTTCACTGAATCTACCAGCACTGCATATCTTCTCAAAGAGTTCACCACCTGCAGCGTACTCCATGACAATAGCCAAATGAGTTGGGGTCAGCAAGACCTGTATAAAAGATGTTGTATTCAGCACTTTGATGAGTGCAACCTCTGAAAGATCTCAATGAAACAATTCATGAACATTCAGAAAAATTACTTGGGAAAAAAAAAATTTAGTGTTTTGCCTATGCAAAATCACAAAGAGATATGGAATTGAAAAAGCATTATAAGCTACTTTTAGTTTCTCTGAGTTGGTTACATCTAACGATTAGCTCACATTGCCTTTCAGAACAATTTCAAGCAGACTGGAATTTGAGAGCTGTATGCAAAAAAAAAAAAAATAATGCAGAATAGCACATTACCATGCTAATAAATTCATTGTGCCTAATCTGATATCTTGAAAGTTGAAACTGGATGATGGAACATTTAAAGGTAACGGAAATAAATTCTCACCTCTTTGAACTCGATAATGTTTGGATGCCTTAAAGATCGGTGGTTGATGATCTCCCGTTGAACATTCTCATCAATCTAACACAACAAACATAATTAGTTCAGAAGAAGCGCAGAGTTAGCAAATAACTTGGAAGAAATCATGACAAAGAAAGAAAAGGCTGAGTATAATGCGGTGATGGAAGTTAAGCTTGAAAGAGAAAGCAACAAAACAAAAAGAGAGAGAGCAGAGCAGAGAAATTAATGCTCAACGTTGTAGCCCAGAAACCTAATCATCTATGAGCATAAGCAAAAAAAAATTTCAACTCCAAGTTGACCCAACATACGAAAAGTCAAGGAACTGAAATATTTGATCTAACAGCACTAGTCCCTTTCCAGAATTTTATATCCGCTAAACCAATCTTGCAAAAGGTCTTACCGTTTTCTAAATGATAATCCTAGCAAAAGAGAAATCCCAGTATAAATATCAAGTCAAGATGATATATAATGATAACACAGACACAGGAAGAGAACAGTGAGAGAGAGAGAGAGAGAGATTAATATTCAATATTGTAATCCAGAAGCTTTTCATGCACTATCAGAAATGGAACAAAATTCGAACTTCAAATTGCCCGACAGAAGGATAATCAATGGACAGAAATATTTGATCAAACATCATTTAGTCCATTTCTGGATTCTGGATTTACCCCCCGCAATATCAATCTTTAAAAAAGATTTTACCTTTTTCCCTCTTTCAATGTATTTGACAGCAACGAGCTCTTTAGTCTTCTTATCTCTGACCAGCCTGGCCACTCCAAAATTCCCAGAACCAAGCTCCTTCAATGCCTCGTACCTTTCCTCCATGTCCACTCTCCCAAGACCAAAACCGGCTTTCGCAATGCAACTGATGGCAAGAGAAGCACCAGACTCAAACAAGTAAACGAAGAACTACATATAAAAATACAACATGGCCATTTTTGTAAAGACGCATACGCAAGCCAAGAAAAGTTCAAACAAACAAATATAAAATAACTGAAAAGTAACCCACAGCAGAAGCAGGAGAGAGGAACCAAGTCACTCACCTCACCGTCTCTTAAACAAATCATCAAACAGCTTTCCAGCAAAAACAACACTTACACGTAATTATATAATTATAAAACTCTAGAGGAGTTATACAGAGCATGACCGTTACAGAAAAGAACAAAGAGATAAACACGGAGAGAGAAAGAGAAAGATGGAATGGGGCCAAATGAGAGTGAAATGGAAGGAATGAAAAGGATGGTTGAAGAGGATGATCGTAGGAAGTAAATCGAGGGACACGTTCACCAGAACGAGAGGAGTCACCTGGAAGTGTGGCCTCCAAATGAAAAGACAATGAGTGTGACATTAGGACACGTGGAGGAAAGCTTGTGTCTTGAAGAGTGTGCTGTAAGGAAGACGTTGACGTTGTGTTAGTGTTGGCGAATGATATACTTGCTTCCTTGTCTGAATGATGCCGCTATGAAGATTTACCCAGTTTGCGGAAAGTGGCTTCCTGGGTCTTCATAGGACTCACCGTCATACAGCACCACACACTATTTGTAATAAAATTGATCTAGTTGCCAAGAATTTAACCTATAGGACGCGGGACTCAATTTATCTGAATTTTATTGCATAAAAAAATAGCATTATTCATGTATCCGGAACTGTGTCACCAAGCAATCCCATCTTTTTTATTTTTAAATGAAATATTCAAATCTGTATATTACATAAAATATAATACTTCTTCTATTTAAAAATGTAAAGTATATTTAACTTAATCTCACACTTCAATAAAGTAATCATATACTTTTATACTAATCTTATCTTTTTATATTTACCCTTATTAAACATCCTATAATAAATATAAAATTACTATCACTTGGGGTATTTTAAAAAAACAATGATTACACCTCGAAAGACTAAAATTATTTTAAATTTTTTAACATCCAACTCCTCAAAAAATATCTTATATTTTTTAAGAGAGAGAGTAATTTATAAATTATCATTAATATTCATATTAATATTATTACATCCAAATCATCAGGGTTCAATATAAATAAAAGCGCAAGTTTTTCATAATAAAATGAATTAAAATTTAATTTTTTATAAAAAAAATGTATTCACATTTAATATTAATCATACTTTCAATATAATTACCTGAAATATTGGAACACCCGGCACAAATGAAAAATATTAATCCGTCCAATGATTGCGAAAGTGGTTGACTGGTTGTAGCCTTGGGATTTAGGAAAAAGGTCGTCTCCTATTCAATCTTTCTTGGAGTGATATTTTTCTTGTGAAAAGCCACCAATTCAGTTTCAGGATCCGTTTGAATTTAAATTGTATATAATAAATTATAAAAATAATTAATTAAGTGATAGATTTTAATTATAATTAATTATGTTATAAAGTAATCTATTTGAATACTATTTTTTTAAAATTAATTTTAACAAAATTAAAGATATTTGGATAATTTAATCAAAATTAATTTTTATCTATATAAATTACTATATAATTTAATTTTTAAATATCAAATATTAATTTTTTTAAATATATAAAGTTTAAATTTTATAAAAATTTTATTTTTATTTAATGTTGTGCTTTTTTTATATTTTTTTTTGGATCTTTTTTTGTAATTTTCTCCAACACTTTTAATCAACTTTTGACCGTAGAAGCTTCTGAAAAAACACGCGTTTTATCTTATAATCGATTTTTAATTTTTTATGACTGTTTGGGTAAATTGATTCAAAAATCAATTCTGAAATAAAAAATTGATTATATTGCATATCCAAACACACTGTCAATATTTAAGATAAGCATTAATAGCTCATCATTTTTAAACTGTTTAAATTTAATTTAAATAATTAAATTTATAAATTTTATTTTTATTTTTAAAAAAAATATTTTAATGAATACATGAGCTAACATGAAGAAAATCTATTAAGTGTCAGTGTTTAAAAACAATGTAATTTTTCATTTAAAAAACACTTGTTAAAAAACTATAAATTTAAACTATAAAAATTATATTTGAATGGTATAGAGATAATTAATTTTCAGTATTTATATACATAATGAGCATTAAAATTAGTTTCACCCATCCATTCTAAGTATAAGAGGGTTCATCTTCAGTGCTTAATTACTTATCACCATAATGAAGTATTATTGTGTTCATTAAGGTGATGAGATTTAAATTATTCAAAAAGGGACGCATCCACATGCAGTAGCCTCCACAAAAATTTTACCCCTTTTAAGTAAATACAAGTACTATGTGCATTTCATAAATATTAATTGCCTCTAGTAATTAACATTATTTTCTTTTGCCATTCAACTTTTTTATTATTTTTTAGGGAAAATGATAATAGGATCCTTTTGAATTATATAAATAATAATTTAATCCCTCAAAATGTTATAATTTTACTAAATTTTTTACGAACTTTTCTGTCATTAACCAAATTACTCTTGTTGAAAATAAAATAATCATAAGTTTTGTTTAAAATAATTATAACTTTTTTTCTTATATTCATAATAATGTAACAATAAATTACAACTTCGCATGTCAAATTCAAGATATTGTTACAAGTGTTGGAAATACCAAGTAATGATCACAAGTTTTGTATAAATAATTATAATTTCTTTTATTCACAACAATGCAACAACAAATCACAAGTTTGCATGTTAAATTCTTAATATTGCTATAAGTGTTAAAAATAATAAATAATGATCACAAATTTTGTTCAAATAATTACAACTTTACTTCTTATATTCACAATAATATAATAACAAAATACAACTTCATATATCAAATTTTTTATATTGCTATAGAGATAATTTGATCATTTATATAAATTCATAAATGATAAAAAAGTTCCTATTTTTTTTTATTTTGAGTAGAATTATAACATTTGGGAGACCAAATTATTATTTATATAATTTAGAAAGAATTTGTTGTTATTTTTCCTATTTTTTATACTCATAATTTTCATGGCCTACATATATAAAAAATCACGCATTTTATAGTCGTTATTTTATTTGTGATTATTTACTTTTTCTTTATGAAACCGACTTTCCCCTCCTAATATTTTTTTTTTTTCCCTTTCTTCCCACTTCACTTCTATTCAAAAAGTGAGAAAACCAAATTCCTAATAGCTCTTTGCACAATTGCACTCCAATGAGAAGGACTCAAAAATTTTGCTCCACCAAATGTTTCTCTGCAATGAGTCAGCGTCCTGATTCAGTTTTATTGTTCGACTCAACTCAACTGTGTCTCCCTCATGGCAGCAGCGTCACTCACCCTAGACTCAATTGAAGTTTGGTTACCTACAAAAGAAAGAAATGTTTTATGGTATTGAAAGTGAAAAAAGAATATTCAACATTATCAAAATAAGCCTATTAAGTACCAGAAAAAAACTTCGGAGGGAAAACTAATTTTGTATATTCAATTTTTTTGTAGTATATTATGGTGCATTTTTTGTATTACAAGTGTCTTTGTAAATATATGATGCTCCCACAGTTTAAAATTTCTAGGTCGGTTGCATTCAGATCAAAATCTAGATAGTTTGCATTTAAAGAATTAATTTTGTATTTTATATTTTTTAAAATAAAATTTTTAATCAAATTCAATAAATCTTTTCATGACCAATATGGTGTAGATTTAATTTGAAAGATCTAATTTAATACTAATAATTTTACAATTTTTATATATTGACAATATAGATGTACTTAGTCCAGATTAATATTAAATTTTTTATAATTTTATAAATTTTTATTTTGATAAATACAACGTTAAAAATTAAAATGTATAATCTCCTAATTAGAATTTCTTTTTAAAAAATTACAAGTTAAAAATTTTAAATGTAAATTGTATATGGTATATCTGAATAGTTAATTTATAAAAATTTAAATATTAAATTAAACACTCAAAATTTAATCTGAACTAGATTAGTCATGAAAAGATTTATTAAATTTTTTATAGTTTTTATAAATTTATGCTTTAAAAATATAAAATTAATGTTTTAAATTCAAACTATTTAGATTAAAATTTAGATGATATAGTTTTTATCACTCCCATGAGCACCATACCAACGAGAAACCCAAGTAGGAGTGGCTACCTCAAGACGAAAACACACCTTTATAAACAACACACCTCTCTCTGTCTTTCTCTTATGAGGTGCATCAACCATGCCTTGAAGAACCGACTCTAGTAGTTGTTTCTTTACGCAAGTATTAATCTATCCAAAAGATAGTGGGAGTGCTTGTAGCCTTGGAATTTTGTTAAAAGATTATCTGCTACTCAATTTTTCTTAGACTAATAATTTTCTGGTGGAATTAAGCTACGCTTCCACTCTAAAATTTGGAGGAGTGACTACCTCAAGACAAAAATACACATCTATGTCTCTCTTGTAAGGTGCATCAACTATGCCCAAATATTATTTTACAAATTTGGAGTGATCCTAACTTTGGAATTTCCGTGGGACTTGCCCCCTTTTATTAACAAACAATGTTTTTTTTAATACTTATTTGATAAATTCATGTATAGTATTGAAAATTGGATCAACTTGATTGATTGAATTATCAAACTGTTAAATTGATTCAATAAAATATTTTGTTTACGACTGATCTAACTACAATTTAATTGTGATTTTAACAATTGATCCTCATACTAGTATGGGTCCAATTTCCAATCTCTTGAATCTACGATGTGGGGTGGATTGGGGGCATAGTAACTAGAGCTCGTAAGTTGGGCGAGGCAGATCAATTTGAGTCAGTTTAAAATATTTGAATAAAAAAAATCGATATAGCTAAGTCATCCTAATACCTCGAGCCTTTGGGCAACACTTGAATTATTAAATTTTATTTCTTTAGTCAATTTCAATTTTTATTTAAAAAACATTGAAAATTTTCAAGTAATATAACACTATAATGCACATTTTTTTCCAATCATATTAAAATGAGAACAAGTGTTGAATGAGTAAAAATGTAAAGCATCAACATTCCATTGTAGTGGAAACTAAGGGGAGTTGGAGGGAGAAATAAGATCAGAGACCTTGAGATGGTTAAAATTAAATTCAATTAGAAGAGATCCTTCCTAAAATCAATCAGAGAGCTTAATATTTCTCCCATTACCAATGTTTCACTTTAATTGATTGATAATGATGTTAGAACAATTGAAAATACCCTTCCAAATCCATAAAGTATTGCAAGGTTTCTCAATTAGAGTAGACAAGCTG